AGCTAGCTTCCTCCAGATCTTGAGACAAAAGACAATTGAAACTTCCCTCTGCAGCAAGCTCTTTACACAAGAACCTAACCTGCTTTATATCAATTTAATTTTGCATTTCTGCTCTTTGGTATGGCAACCCAAGGACCTAAAACAACCCTGCCTGAGTTTGGGTCACAAATGAAAACTAGATTGGTGACCTCATTTTATTCCTTACTGGACATCTGGCCACATTGTTAAATCTTGGCTCAGTAGGAGCACAGGCTGCCAGAGGGGCTGATAGGACTGTACACAGGTGTTGTTAGAATATCTCAGGGAGATTATGATTATAATAACAGTTGATGTGGCATTAGCACATTTCCTAGGGCGGTTGCTAGAGCTAGCACCAGTTCCTCTCTTTCACAGACACTAACATACATACCATTAAAACACTAAGATTGTGTACAGCCTGCATCATTTGTATCATTAAGGTCCAGAGCTGTGTTTTTGTAGCTGCATAAACTTAATGAACATTTGTTTCCAATCACTATTGCTTCCTTTGATAGAGTCAGCTGTGTTGGCTGCTTTCTACCGAACAGTGTAATGGAATCATTGGCTAATCCATGCCACTATACCCAGTTATTCAGAATCTGTGCACAGGCCTAAATTTTACTCTCTCACTGGTGCAATTTACATATAAATCTAAAACATGGGCAGTGACTGAGAACCTTACAGCAGAGTCCAGGAGGAAAAAAAAAACTAAGACCAGAAATCAAATAAAGCGTGATCCTCTATTACTCATGTTTGCTCTAAAATTTCAAATATGCATCTGTGTTGGCTCTGCTTATGGCAATTTGAGAAACATGATGTAAAAATGTTTGAAGATGAGTCAAAGAAAATGATGCAGGCATGCACTCACACTCATGAAAATTATTGAATATGCTCTTTTATATACATGGTTAATGTGCTCCTGTGGGTGATCACCAAGCAGCGTACCTAATGCAAGAATTATTTCGGTAATGAACCTGGATATTGACTCTTCCCCAGGCATCAAGAGCCCCCTGTGCCAGTGGTATGGGCTGGGTTATGCTTGTTATACAGCCACTTTGAGCTAGCCTGCCCAGTGAAAAGAGCTGGAGTCCAGCAGTGAATTGGGCCCTTCAATTTGATTCCCCTTTCTGTTGTTTTATTACGTGATCTTAAGCATCTCATTAAACCTCTCTGTTCATCAGTAAAATAGGCATAACCTATACTTACCTCACAGGTAGGAAATGCAGATGAACCCGTTCAAGAAGCACTCTGAGGACCTCAGAGCCAGTGTACTATACCCCCGTGCCTACTTTACCTATATCACCAAGTCATTGCACAGTTTTATCCAGATGGCAGGGTCTACTTGATAGAGAGCTGTAGGGCTGAGGCTGTTGTGGATCAGGCTGGAAAGGAATTGACAAACCCTCTCCATTACAGGGGTGGGGACTTTGTTATAGAGATTATTGTAATTTGAGTACATTCTCCATTACAGGGGTGGGGACTTATAGAGATTATTGTAATTTGAGTACAATCTCTCCAGTCAGTGCTTAGCTTTCCCATCTCTCATTTAAAGAACTCCCTGAAAGTGTTTACAGCTGATCACTGTGTGCGTCAATGCAGGTGGGGCTATGTGAGAGAGACTTGTGATGTATGGGTCTGTCAGCTGTATACCTAACTGCCTATGCAGAAACATATTTTTCCCCACTTAGACTTCTGTCAAAGGAATATTTTCCCATATGTTATATGGAAAGGTTTATTCAGCTGTTACCACGCTATCTTGTTACTGTGTTTGTCCGTATGGGCTGGGCTGGGTCAGTGCTTTAATGGAACACTTCCATGAGACACAGAGGTGCTGCAAAAAATGGGGTTTCACTAGGTGGCACTCTATCCTATAAGTCAACAGTATATTGCTGCACTTCCTGTCAGCTAGGTGAGGAATAAAATGAAGATGTGACTAATTTTACATGAGAAAAGGCATTAATCTAGATAGTTTAATCTAATTAAAGGTTGGGTACTTTTAGGATTTCTACCGATACCCTGTCCACCATGTCTTGTAGCTTCAGTTCTCATCATGTTCTCAACGGTCGCATAATGTTGTTGTTGTGTTGTAAAACAGCCAAAGTGTTCCAAACCCAAAGATGAGTGTGTTACTCCAGTGGTGAAATGATTTCTGTGGACTATGTAAGTATCTGATCACTAGAGCTCTGCAAATCCATGGATATCCACTTTATACTCACAGGCAACCGCATTTGTGAATGTGGATATCCGCAGCTCATTTTCTTGAATATGGATGTAGATATACATTTTGAATCTAGAACCCTTCAAATCTGCCGATATCCGCTATATATCCATGGGTATCTGTGTCCACGGATGTGTACATAGATACCTGTAGATCATTTTTGCAGATGTGGATACAAATTTGGTATTCACACAGGGCTCTACTAATCAGTCTTTCTTGTCAGTTAAAATGACTCTTGCCATTTACTTAAATGGACACACGATCAGGCCTATATTTAGTTCAGTGCTCCAGAGTCCTTTAAGATAAAACCGGCTCTAGTAAGGCAATGATTTTTAGTGGTTAAAGGGATTAGAAGGCAGGAAATAGGTGTTGCTAACCTCAGCTCTGCTGCTAAATTGTCAGTTTGATAAGTCACACACTGCAAGGAAAACATGGCTCAAAAAGTTTAAATCAGGGCTGAATTTGGCCCTCTGTGCCATAGTTTCCCATTGTATAACAGGGGTTTATAATATGCACTCAACTCATAGCATCCAATCTGTGAGCAACTCAACAAACAAAATGAGTCCTTCTCTCTGCAAGGATAACTTCTATAGTTCATGCAATAGAATGGTGTGGTGGTGGGTTTGTGTGTGCCGCACTTATTTGCACAGGATCACATTTCACTGCAAAAGAGTATATCATGACAGAAACACTAGAAGGAGATGCTTTATGATAGCTGGAGGAGGAAATGTTAGAAATGTAACACAAACTGAAACTCACAACTAATGCTGAAGTTTACTAGGTGAAAGTTATTTCCTTCAAATAAAAATAAATCCAGGGCTTTAAGAAGCTGCCTACGTTCCTTTAACTTCAATAAAGAAGCATGGTATTATAACTAATTAGAATTCAGAGAGCAGCTGAATAAACTGGAAAAGGTCACACATGAGGGAGAAACATCAAGGTGAAACATAGGTGATAAAACTCACTAGAAGTACCTCCCTGGAATCAAAACAAAGCAGACCAGCGATCTCCCTTCCCAATCTGGAAAAAAGATGCAATTTCCCCACAAAAATATCACAATTTGATAGTCAATGCATAAATTGTACAGGGAAACAGAGGTGAAATCTGAGTCCTACTGCAGCCATTGTCAAGATTCTGACCAGGATTTCACCCCAGACCCTTTGAAGAACTTCCACACTATTTTCTCCTGCCCCTGAAAGCCCCTGTGGATCCCATATCCTAGTCTGAGAACTTCTAAATTAGAATGACCATTTCAGAAATTAAACTTATTGGGACAAAATGTGTGCATCCATTTCCATCCTCCCCCATCCCCATTCCAATTTTTCCTGTGGCAAAAGTTCCATTGACATCTATGAAACAAAAGGGAGTAAAAAACAAGTGAAAATTTTCAGAATATTGCCCATTGTAAGGGTAGCATGGTCTTCTGTGTGCAGTAAACCTGTACTTCCCCCTGCTTTTAAGCAGACCTGTCTTTTGAGAAAGATGTGTGTGCCATATGAGTGTGTGAAACATGAGATATGTCATCTGCCTGATGTGAATGCCCTTTGTGTAGCTCCAGTGGTGTAAAGGCTTAACACTGCTGGGAAATCCCAGACATAGGGAAAATCCTCAAGAGGTATAACATAAATATAGCCAGCTGTACATCATCCTCTGCCTGTCCAGCTAGCAGGGGGGCATACTGAGAGTCAGAGTATGCTTCATGCTTGTTGAGCCTGGACCAGAGGGACAAGCCTTTACACTACACAGGATTGTTTCAGAAAGCATAACTGGAGTAGCCTGTGGGTACTCTAATCTGTACTCCCCACAATTTGGGAGAATGGAAAGGTGCAGTCATGCCACCCCCTCACCTCTGATGGTCCAGCAGGTTTCTGGAGCACTTGCATTCCAAAGAGGACCCAGATTTATAAGAGAATTCTGAGATTTGAGTGTCACTGAGTAACAGCAAACAACTACTGTATGTTTTTTGACAGAGGAAAAGGCTTCCCTTCAGCTAGAAATGCATGGGCTTTTAAAAATTATCCCCTCCCTTGGGAATTTAAATAATTTGTTCAAGAGGGAGGAGAATGTTTGTTTTATGAGACTCAGCGAAGCTGGAGGAAATCTAAAACATAAAATGGGGGACAGCTTCTGAAATGTTCCAAAAAGCTAAAGTCCAGAGGAGTTCTCCAACTCTGCGGGATGGTAATTTAGGACTCTTCTATGTAGGTAAATCGTAATTTGTAACATCCACAGCCCACCTATTCTTCTGTGCCAGCTCTCGATGAGAAATACAGTGATATACAGTCTGTGCGGTCCTGACCTACTCGCTCAAGCTCAGAACCGAGGGGCTGGAGAGCTTCGGCAAGTCACGTAAGTGACCGTGCCTCAGTTTCCCCACCGGCAAAGCGAGGAGGGTAACGGGCACCTCCCGAGGTGGGAGGCAGCACTGAGCTATGCAAACTGATGAAGGGGCTGGACGCCTTTTGCTGAACTCCCCTGTTCAGCTCTTGAATGCTCCATGCCTGCGAAATGCACCAACTTGGAGCCCCTTCCGCGCCCCCATCCAGGCTCCCCGCGACGCCCCCTCCTCCACGCGTGAACTGCTGCCGCCCAGGCTCCCTCCTCCCCTGGCCAGGGCCCCCCACCCATTGGCAGCCGCGAGCTCCTGGGCACCCAGCCCGTGCAATCAGAGCGGCCTCCCGCTTCACCCCCGCACCAGGAGGAGGAGGAACCTGGGGGGGGAGGTCAGACCCCCTCCCTCCCTCCGAGGGGGCGCATGCGCCGTGGTGCAGGACTTGCTCCTAGGACCAGCCGAGGGAGGGAGCCGCCGGGAGCGCTCGGGTGTCGCCGCCTGTTGCACCAGCGTCCCGTGCCGCCAGCCATTGTCCCCGTCCCCTGCTGCCGCTGCAGACGAAGCAGCCCCGCTCGCGGGGTGAGTGAGTGAGCGAGCGAGTTTGCAGGAGTTGGAGGAACTCGAGGGAAGGGCGGGGGGGGGTTTGCAGGGCTCCCCCCTCGGCAGAGCCCTCCAGTTACTGCCGAGCTGGGAGTCGGGGTGCCCCTCCTGCTGCAGTGCACGGGGGAGCCCTTCCAGCTGCCGCGCTGAGGGGTCGGGGCCCCCGGCTCGCTGGGGAGAAGCGGCGGGGGGTGCAGGGGCCCCTGTGGG